CTATCTCCTATTACTTTTCGCCTATCGCCTTGTGCGTAGGCAACGTTTTTTGAAATAGGTGTATACCGTAATTTAAGTACATTGCGTTTCCTACTTATACGATGACCATTCCTTTAGGAAATTGTATGTTCTGTAGCTAGTTGTGCCGTATGTATATCGTAAGTAAGGACAACGCGTTTCCCACTCATGAGAATTCCATTCGCTTATGGGAAGCCATTTAAATGTTATAGCTAGTTGTGCCGTGTTCATGTTGTAAGTCAGTACCGTATGCTTTTCATCCTTACAATACACTCAACAAAATTACTCGATTCTGATTGGAAAAGAGAAGTACAATTCCAAATTGTACTCTGTAGAGTCCCAATTAAATTGCTCAATTTTGTTCAGTGTATTATAAACAAAACATCGTACGATCTTCTCGTACAATTCGGAATTTATAGGTAAAGGTTCGTCCAATTTAGAAAACTTTCAAACAACACTCGTACCTAAAAAATTCGAATTGTATTAGAGATCGTGTACTCGATTTCCTATACACATATTAGAAAACCGCTCTATGTTCTGAGCTGTGTCTTTTAACTAAAATAAGAATGACTTACGCTCAAACACGAGAAGTATCCTTTACCGAAATCCTGTAAACATTGTTCATCTATGTCATATATTTGCCCAGGAAGTTTATTCATGATTGAGCGATTGCTCGCGATAGGAACGTCATCAAGACACCACATATAACTGAATATGGAAGAAAATGTCATTTTTAGCGGCATTTCTCATTGTGGTATTTTGTGTTATAGAATCACTGAATGAATGTCTGAGTTTTAAACAAATTCGATTCAACTAAGAGAGCATAAATAAGAGAGGGAAACTTCTTAATAACCCACGCGCCATGTAAATTCCCGGTTGGACTATTTTGATCAACTTGCGCGCGCTCGCTCTTTCCGTTTATTGTTTTGATGGTGTTTTGACTGTTCTAGCCAAACTGAAGAGGTTGTAACAACGAAACTAGTTTTTAAAAGCTAAAATACACATAGTGCGTATAAGACAATAACATTAAGAAAATGAGAATTCACTAGTTTAAATTATGACTATTGTTTCAAAGTCTTTTGAGGCTTCAATAAAGAATATCACAAGGAAGGAATTTTTAAAACTGCATCCGGTTACTAAAAATAGCCCAACCGGGAATTTACATGGCGTGCGCGTAATTAAGAAGTTTCCCTCTCTTTTGTGCTCTCTTGATGCCACTTACTTCAAGTGACTTATGAGCTCTTGTCTGCTACATCTAGACCAGTAAAACCGGTCAAACCGGGATCGGACAAGAGGTGCCATGATACTTCCCTTGATGACATCTTTGGTACAGTTGTTAGAGTCTCCATCGTGTTCCATTCCTAATCTAAAAAATAGTAATTCGTATCGTATATAAATTATAAGTTTGTTGGTTAATCTTTTCAGCTAGGTTTTCAGCGCCTGAGGGGGAGGAGAGGAGAGCAATTGGCACCCTAAAAACGACAAAGAAGTTTACCAGTTTGTAATTTAAATATTTCTGTCCGCTTAAAGCCCCGTTTACACTTGCGATTTTTGCAGCGATTTTTGCTGCAATGTTCGTGGCAATTTTCGGAAATATGAAATCTTTTGTCTCATCCTTCAAAAGAGACATTCGT